GTCTTGATCTGTTACGTGGGCTGACAGAGGTTTAGCTTTAGCCTTTGGTGTACTCCTTGCTCCGGATACAATGGAGTCCACTGGTAAAGGCTCGAACTGGACTCTTTCGGAAGCAGCTAGTGTCCTGGAGGCATCCAACTCCAATCCTTCAATAGACCGACCGAATGCGCTTTCCTCTATAACGCTTCCATCCTTGAATTCCTATAATAATAATAATATTATTATTTTATGCTCCAAAATTCATTGCATACAACATCTGTATACTACGCATGCTAGTTATTAATTAAGATATTAAAAAAATATTAGAAAACTTAAGATTTATTTTACTTAATTACAAACTACAAATTGTAATAATTAAATCAGCTTCAAAAAATTTTAAGAATTATCTTCTACGTAAAAAATTAGTCCTATAATGTTGTACGTAATGCACATCTAATTGCGTAGACTCCATCTATAAAAACTTATTAGACAAATATACGTGTATATGTAATTATGTAATAATATATACATATAATTATATAAATACTGATATAAATTATAGTTTATATAGACAGAATCTTCATTAGGAGACAACTAAACATTAACTTTACATTCCCATTTTAACAGTTTATACAGTAAGAAATAAAGAGCCCGCGATATGTATATATCAATGTTACCTGTTTGATATTCTCTGCTTTGTCCTATAATTAAAAGAAATGCAGAGACTTACGTTAGAGCTGTAAAGTAACAACGTCATTTCTTCTAAGATTACTTAGGATCTCTCTTTAAACTACCTTAATCCTCTTGGTCTTCTGTGCCTCTGACAACAGAGGCAACCAGCTAAAGTTAACGCTGTGGCGGTGACACTTGACAGAGCAATCGCATAACGCATCCAGTAGTGTTCCCATTGCCAGGAAGCACGTGTGTGTGGTGAACCTAGCACAATAAAAATATGTCATTCAATTGTCTTTTCAGTAATATTTATGAATGTTAGCTTATATCATTTCCATATAAAAATAGAATCATTTTTCATCTTTTCTTAGGAAAAAATACGCTTTCTATTGTTTACAAAACAGCATATACAGAGTGTAACAAAAAATGTGGGATTTCAGTATATGTATTTTATCAAATGAAGCAAAATATTTATATTACAAACATATATTCAAAACTGATTTTTCAAGTGGATCTTTCATCCTGCCTGAAAGTTTGACAGCTGTCACTCACAGACAATTGTCAGAAAATTATTTTTGCATCATTGCTCTAACATTTTAAGTTTCAAATATGACAGTAATTTTTTTTCACGCGTCCAACAATAAACTTCCTCGAGGACGATGTACCTGCGACAGGTGACGTGGGTACGGGGTAGGCCGCGAACATCGGCAGACCCACCCAAAGGAAGCAGCATGCCCAGTGTAAGTTCCGCATATTTCAACCAGGGAATCCGGTTATCCTTTCGACGAGCTGACCTCCTAAGTCATCCTCGAGCGAGGTCATCGGGGACGGTCGTCCGGCTCATAATCCTCGCCTGGGCGCGCGTTTCTCCCCGGGTGACGGCAGTTCTGACGGAAGGTGGCGACGCGAACACGCTTCGTCCGGAGCGTGCATGATGCGCCTGTCACTCGGCGGGAGCTCTCTCTCTCTCTCTAATAAGGCTTTCTCGAAATAAGGTGCACGTACGAGAAGATCTTTCTCACGTCATTTCGCTCTCGTGAGGGAAAAAAGCGTCAATGGGGATGTTTTTTGATTTTTTTTCTTCGGGGATTACGTATGGACGAATAATCGAGAGATCTCGTCGAAAGTTTAGTTGTTGTGCCACGGATTAGAAAATATATTGGAAACTATCGGATTGAGAATTGTAATGTGAAAGCACGCGATATAGAAAATATCCGCCAATAGGAACGGGAAATAGAAAGTGTCCACCAATAGGACTGGAGAATAGAAACGTTCTTAGCCAATAGAAGCGGGACTCGATTCTTGAATTGATGGGACGTGATATTCAATGATTTATATATTCACAGCCAGGTTTTGAATGAATGAAGGATGACACGTGAGTTTGTTGCCAGACAATGCATCTAATAATTAATATAAACGTAATTAATTGCACGAAATAACTGTGAAATATTGCGTTTAAAGTACGTAGCCATCTGGCTTAAAAAACGTGGACGTGGAGGATATTAGAAAAAAAGGTTACGTCTGCCGAGTGAATGCAGCAATGGCGACGGAGGAGCATAAACGCTTAGCTGATGTAGTGAAGGAAACTCATGCCCTGTTGCGGACGGAATATCATCAATATGGCGCCGAAGTCGCGTGGGAGCGTCATATGGCGCGAAATGACGTTTTACAGGTTCGCGTCTGCTGTGTACAAAATTAATATATTATATTGCATATATAATATAACAGATTTAATGTATTTCATAGATATTATTATATTTTATAGGTTTAATATAAATATATATATTAAATTTATGTTTAATATAATATATTATATTGCATATATGATATAACAGATTTAATGTATTTCATAAATATTATAATTTTATATGTTTAATATAATATATATTATATATTGATATTTATGTCTACATATATTATATTTAACATATTTTTATATTATATTTAATACATTTTTATCTACATTAATAATTATATATTAATAATACATATATTGTAGATTGATATGAGACAAATTTCAGAAGTATGCTACATCTATGCAAAAATTGGCCACTAAATACTGGAAGGAGAATGATTCGAAGAATGGAACATACTGTAGAATGTGTGGATAAGAACCCAGTGCAAGGAGTACTTTCTCAATGGTGGTAAAGAGAAGTACGATAAGAGAGAACGGGATATATATGCTAAAATGACTGGAAAAAGTTGGATGAAAGCTGTACAAACAACAGTGATGAAGACATCTGTATGGAAGATCATTTAAAAAATGAACCAAAAAATCAGTACTGGATGTAGGTTGTTGTTACAATCCTTTAAGCGTCGACGAGGCATTCGACGTCACCGCGATAGATTTAATTCCGGATTCAACAGGAGGAATTTTTCGCTGCGATTTTTTAAACGTCGCGATCGGAGAGGAGCGAATTCTCTCGCGAGACGCGCGAGAGATTTATCAGCTAGCCGCAAGGTCATTCGACGCCGTGGTGTTTTCCTTATTACTAGAGTATCTGCCATGTCCGGAACAGAGATACAATTGCTGTAGGAATGCGTACGACGTGCTGAAGATAGGCGGCCTGCTACTCATTGTGAGTCCGGATTCGAAGCACGTCGGAGCAAACGCAAGGTTGATGAAGTCTTGGAGGTACACGCTGAGCAGATTGGGATTCATGAGGATCAAATACGAGAAGCTACGTCACATTCACTGTCTGGCGTTTAGGAAATGCGCCTGCAAAGACGTCGCCACGCGATGGTGCGAGCTGCAGCGTTTTTCCCAGGATGATAGGAAATACATATCCGAGACAGAGATTTTTATCCCACAGGACTTTCAGACCATTTGTTTCGAAGAGGAAAGAGGAGAAAAGTCAGTTGAATACAATGAAACTGATCTAGCGAGTACCTTTTCTGAATTACCATTTGATAATGAAATGTAGTTTAAGTCTTCGATGGATTATTCACGAGCCATCTGAAAAATGTTTGATAAAACTTATCATTTTTATATATAATTATAGAAATTGATATATAATATATACAATATATTATAAATATAAATATATTAATTATATGTATATATATAATATATAATTATATTTTATAACAAATTATATATATAATTAGAGCTTTAATATTTTATAAAATTGTATAATAATCAAAACAAATATAAATTTTATGTATGTATCATATGAAAATATTAAAATTTTTATTTAGAAAATGTTTTTTTATTGCGTGTGTAAGCAGTATTTTAAGAGAAAAGAATATTTAAGAATTATAATTAAAGAAAACATATAGTGTAAATATTCTATATATTATATCTTGACAATATAATTTACAAAAAATATATTTATAAACGAAATTATTATTTATAATTCCATAGGAATTGTAAGATATCAAAAGTAAAATGTATTTAAAATTTACGCTCTTAGAGCAATAAGTTTTATATCACGAGCATTAGGTGGCGCTAAAATCGAAGATATTTTGAACAAGTCCTTCTATATACGAGATAATTGATGAATTCCGTTGTCGCCATATTGAAAGTTCTTTCTGATCGGTTCTCCTTGTTGATGCACGTGGTATGTATAATTTCTCTTTTATTATCCAATTTTTTAAACAATTCGCTGCATTAGAATCTAATTTTATAATCGTTGATGTATTCTAAATTATCAGATGTTTTTGCAATATAGCTATTTATTTGTAGAAAATTATTCTTTTGCGGTTAGTTCATATCTGTAATCCATCAGCAAACTGTATGTAGCTTAAATATAGTAAATTCAATATATATATTTAAAAATAAGGGTATACACTGATCTAATTATAAATAAATTAAAATTAAAATTAAACAATTTTATTAAAAATGCGTATAAAATAATTAGAATTGTAATAATCTATCACAGGAAGATCCAAGATGTCGCACTTAAATTGGATGATAGTCCGCAATAACAATGCCTTTCTTCTTAAGAAACGCAACATTAATAAGCCATTTTCCACGGTACGTTGCTCGCAATGTTTTACAAACATTATTTTTTAAGTATTATTAGTTGTAACTTTTGAAAGCAATCTCTAAAATGCAACGCAGTTATTACTTTCAAATTAATGAATATTAATAAAATAATGTATGCTCAGGAATCCAACAACTTGACGAATCAGAGCAGCTATCGCTACTCTGGTTTGATCCATCGTAAGAGTGTAGGCATAGTTGATACCCCTGACAAAAAGGGATTCACAGTCGTCTACAAGAAGGCCAAGGCGGTCAACAAGCCTGCTAAAGCTACAGTCAAGAGTACAATGAAGGCTGGGGCTCGTCGTTCCCTTTATAAACTGAAGACTCTGCTGACAAAGAATAAGTATCGTGTAGATCTTACCAAGGTACGTGAATCAATTGTTACTAATTTGAGTAATTCTGTCTTAGGATTATTGTTATCAACTGGATATGTTTTATAGGCTGCGTTGCGAAGAGCTAGCGCTGTATTACAGTCTCAGAAACCTCTTCCTGCTAAAAAGACGCGAACTACTAAGAAGACCGATTAATTTGTACTATTAAATATATGTTTTAACATAATATATTATGGACGATATATTCTGTGATGTAAAAATGCTCGAGACTTTTTAGCTTATTTGTTTTAATATATTATATACAATTATATTATTTACTGAATTTTTTGATAAATTGTCTTTTGCATTTTACTTTACAGAGATATGTCTGGTGTTATTTTTTGAACAATATTTCCATAGTAGATATTTTGATTAGATTTTTATAACTTCTTTATATATTAAAATAAACTTGATTATATATTATAATGATTATGCAATAGGTAAGCTTTTTATATATTGTGATATTTATTTTAGTTTTATGATATTTATATTTTATTTTATTCAAATTTTTCTTCTTTTTAGATCAACAAAAGCTGGTTGAAAAAAAAACATAGTTCTGGCAATTATAATTAAACTACAAGAGAATTAGGTAACATTTATTTTTATTAATTTTTACATGATATATAAATGTTTGAATGAGATAATTTTATTTATCAAGATGTATGAGTGTGTTGTGATTTGTATAGTATTTGCTAATTTACTATTGTTTACATCATTTTGAAATTTAAATGGAAAAGTATATAGTAATGTTAATAATACATTATTTTATTAGTTAAATTGTTTGCAAGTTCAAAGTTACATCTTAAAATTACATAGATACACTTTTACTCTTGTGTATAAAATATGTTTACTTTTCATATATAAAACATTTTATTTAAATTAAAATGATGCAATAATATCTCTGAGGAACATGATTTTTCAATTTGCTACTTCTGACTATAAAAGATTCAATATAACATTTATAATTAATATTCTTCATTAACAAACAGAATTTTTTATTTATGTTTCAGACATCTAGAAATAATGGAATTTGTGATCAAGTTGCAAAAAATACAGGTAATTTTTATTTTACATATTTAAATGTAATTTTTTTTCAACTTTAGTAATAAATTGAAAATGATGATTTATTTTAACCACCAAGATCTATGAGTGCCATGATTTGAATAGTATTTGCTAGCTGATTATTATTAACACCAGTTTGAAATTTAAGTAGAAAAGTTGCAACTTTAACTTATATATTTATTTTATTATTTAGGTTGCCTATACGCACAGTTTCCAACTGAAATGGCATTTGAAAACTGTATAAAGGTAATTTAATTATTTTTATTTTTCTATGTTATATATCTTTTACAAATTAAAATTAAAATAAAATGATGTCATAATTATCACCAAGATCTATGATTGCCATGATTTTTTAATTTGCTACTTTTGACTTAAAAAAAAATTTAACTTAACATTTATAAATAATATTCTTTGTTAATAAACATTTTTTTTAAATTTATGTTTCAGATATTTAGAAATGATGGAATTTGTGATCAGATTAGCAAAGAATGCAGGTAATTTTCATTTATTATATATTTAAATGTAATTTTTTTAACTATAGTAATAATTTGAAAATGATGATTTATTTTAACCACCAAGATCTATGAGTGCCATGATTTGAATAGTATTTGCTAGCTGATTATTTTTGACATTGGTCTGAAATTTAAGTAGAAAAGTTACAATTTGAGACTAATATATTTATTTTACCATTTAGATTGTCCATACACAGTTTCCAAGTGAAATGGTATTTAAAAACTATAAAGGTAATTTAATCATTTTTATTTTTTAATGTTGTATATCTTTTACATGTTAAAATTAAAATAAAATGATGTCATAACTATCACCAAGATCTCTGATTGCCATGATTTTTCAATTTGCTACTTCTGACGTTATAAAAAATTCAACATAACATTTATAAATAATATTCTTTGTTAATAAACTTTTTTGATTTTATGTTTTAGATATTTAGAAATGATGGAATTTGTGATCAAGTTAGCAAAGAATGCAGGTAATTTTCATTTATTATATATTTAAAAATATAATTTTTTATCAACTGTAATAATAGATTGAAAATGATGATTTATTTTAACCACCAAGATCTATGAGTGCCATGATTTGAATAGTATTTGCTAGCTGATTATTTTTATATTAGTCTGAAATTTAAGTAGAAAAGTTACAATCTTGAGACTAATATATTTATTTTATCATTTAGATTGTCCATACGCAGTTCCCAAGTGAAATGGTATTTAAAAACTATAAAGGTAATTTAATCATTTTTATTTTTTAATGTTGTATATATCTTTTACATGTTAAAATTAAAAAAAAATGATGTTATAATTATCACCAAGATCTATGATTGCCATGATTTTTCAATTTGCTACTTCTGACTTTATAAAAAATTTAACATAACATTTATAAATAATATTCTTGATTAATAAATAGAATTTTTTATTTATGTTTCAGATATCTAGAAATAATGGAATTTGTGATCAAATAGCAAAGAATGCAGGTAATTTTCATTTAATACATATTTAAATGTAATTTTTTATCAACTATAATAATAGATTAAATCAAATATTATTTTTTATTAACTATAGTAATAGATTGAAAATGATGATTTATTTTAACCACCAAGATCTATGAGTGCCATGATTTGAATAGTATTTGCTAGCTGATTATTTTTGACATTGGTTTGAAATTTAAGTAGAAAAGTTAATCTTGAGACTAATATATTTATTTTATCATTTAGATTGCCCATACACACAGTTCCTAAGTGAAATGGTATTTAAAAACTATAAAGGTAATTTAATCATTTTTATTTTTTAATGTTGTATATCTTTTACATATCAAAATTAAAAGAAAATGATGTTACAATTATCACCAAAATCTATGATTGCCATGATTTTTCAATTTGCTACTTCTGACTTTATAAAAAATTCAACATAACATTTATAAATAATATTCTTCATTAATAAATAGAATTTTTTATTTATGTTTCAGATATCTAGAAATCATGGAATTTGTGATCAAGTTGCAAAAAATACAGGTAATTTTCATTTAATACATATTTAAATGTAATTTTTTATCAACTATAATAATAGATTAAATCAAATATTATTTTTTATTAACTATACATATTTAATGTAATATATAACAACATATTTAAATGTAATTTTTTTTTCAACTTCAGTAATAAATTGAAAATGATGATTTATTTTAACCACCAAGATCTATGAGTGCCATGATTTGAATAGTATTTGCTAGCTGATTATTTTTGACATTGGTCTGAAATTTAAGTAGAAAAGTTACAATCTTGAGACTAATATATTTATTTTATCATTTAGATTGCCCATACACAGTTCCCAAGTGAAATGGTATTTAAAAACTATAAAGGTAATTTAATCATTTTTATTTTTAATGTTGTATATCTTTACATGTTAAAATTAAAAGAAAATGATGTTATAACTATCACCAAGATCTATGATTGCCATGATTTTTCAATTTGCTACTTCTGACTATATAAAAAATTCAACATAACATTTATAATAATATTATTCTTTGTTAATAAACATTTTTTTTAAATTTATGTTTTAGATATTTAGAAATGATGGAATTTGTGATCAAGTTAGCAAAGAATGCAGGTAAATTTCATTTATTATATATTATAAATATTATTTTTTATCAACTATAGTAATAGATTGAAAATGATGATTTATTTTAACCACCAAGATCTATGAGTGCCATGATTTGAATAGTATTTGCTAGCTGATTATTATTAACACCAGTTTGAAATTTAAGTAGAAAAGTTGCAACTTTAACTTATATATTTATTTTATTATTTAGGTTGCCTATACGCACAGTTTCCAACTGAAATGGCATTTGAAAACTGTATAAAGGTAATTTAATTATTTTTATTTTTCTATGTTATATATCTTTTACAAATTAAAATTAAAATAAAATGATGTCATAATTATCACCAAGATCTATGATTGCCATGATTTTTTAATTTGCTACTTTTGACTTAAAAAAAATTTAACTTAACATTTATAAATAATATTCTTTGTTAATAAACATTTTTTTTAAATTTATGTTTCAGATATTTAGAAATGATGGAATTTGTGATCAGATTAGCAAAGAATGCAGGTAATTTTCATTTATTATATATTTAAATGTAATTTTTTTAACTATAGTAATAATTTGAAAATGATGATTTATTTTAACCACCAAGATCTATGAGTGCCATGATTTGAATAGTATTTGCTAGCTGATTATTTTTGACATTGGTCTGAAATTTAAGTAGAAAAGTTACAATTTTGAGACTAATATATTTATTTTACCATTTAGATTGTCCATACACAGTTTCCAAGTGAAATGGTATTTAAAAACTATAAAGGTAATTTAATCATTTTTATTTTTTAATGTTGTATATCTTTTACATGTTAAAATTAAAATAAAATGATGTCATAACTATCACCAAGATCTCTGATTGCCATGATTTTTCAATTTGCTACTTCTGACGTTATAAAAAATTCAACATAACATTTATAAATAATATTCTTTGTTAATAAACTTTTTTGATTTTATGTTTTAGATATTTAGAAATGATGGAATTTGTGATCAAGTTAGCAAAGAATGCAGGTAATTTTCATTTATTATATATTTAAAAATATAATTTTTTATCAACTGTAATAATAGATTGAAAATGATGATTTATTTTAACCACCAAGATCTATGAGTGCCATGATTTGAATAGTATTTGCTAGCTGATTATTTTTTATATTAGTCTGAAATTTAAGTAGAAAAGTTACAATCTTGAGACTAATATATTTATTTTATCATTTAGATTGTCCATACGCAGTTCCCAAGTGAAATGGTATTTAAAAACTATAAAGGTAATTTAATCATTTTTATTTTTTAATGTTGTATATATCTTTTACATGTTAAAATTAAAAAAAAATGATGTTATAATTATCACCAAGATCTATGATTGCCATGATTTTTCAATTTGCTACTTCTGACTTTATAAAAAATTTAACATAACATTTATAAATAATATTCTTGATTAATAAATAGAATTTTTTATTTATGTTTCAGATATCTAGAAATAATGGAATTTGTGATCAAATAGCAAAGAATGCAGGTAATTTTCATTTAATACATATTTAAATGTAATTTTTTATCAACTATAATAATAGATTAAATCAAATATTATTTTTTATTAACTATAGTAATAGATTGAAAATGATGATTTATTTTAACCACCAAGATCTATGAGTGCCATGATTTGAATAGTATTTGCTAGCTGATTATTTTTGACATTGGTTTGAAATTTAAGTAGAAAAGTTAATCTTGAGACTAATATATTTATTTTATCATTTAGATTGCCCATACACACAGTTCCTAAGTGAAATGGTATTTAAAAACTATAAAGGTAATTTAATCATTTTTATTTTTTAATGTTGTATATCTTTTACATATCAAAATTAAAAGAAAATGATGTTACAATTATCACCAAAATCTATGATTGCCATGATTTTTCAATTTGCTACTTCTGACTTTATAAAAAATTCAACATAACATTTATAAATAATATTCTTCATTAATAAATAGAATTTTTTATTTATGTTTCAGATATCTAGAAATCATGGAATTTGTGATCAAGTTGCAAAAAATACAGGTAATTTTCATTTAATACATATTTAAATGTAATTTTTTATCAACTATAATAATAGATTAAATCAAATATTATTTTTTATTAACTATACATATTTAATGTAATATATAACAACATATTTAAATGTAATTTTTTTTCAACTTCAGTAATAAATTGAAAATGATGATTTATTTTAACCACCAAGATCTATGAGTGCCATGATTTGAATAGTATTTGCTAGCTGATTATTTTTGACATTGGTCTGAAATTTAAGTAGAAAAGTTACAATCTTGAGACTAATATATTTATTTTATCATTTAGATTGCCCATACACAGTTCCCAAGTGAAATGGTATTTAAAAACTATAAAGGTAATTTAATCATTTTTATTTTTTAATGTTGTATATCTTTTACATGTTAAAATTAAAAGAAAATGATGTTATAACTATCACCAAGATCTATGATTGCCATGATTTTTCAATTTGCTACTTCTGACTTTATAAAAAATTCAACATAACATTTATAAATAATATTATTCTTTGTTAATAAACATTTTTTTTAAATTTATGTTTTAGATATTTAGAAATGATGGAATTTGTGATCAAGTTAGCAAAGAATGCAGGTAAATTTCATTTATTATATATTATAAATATTATTTTTTATCAACTATAGTAATAGATTGAAAATGATGATTTATTTTAACCACCAAGATCTATGAGTGCCATGATTTGAATAGTATTTGCTAGCTGATTATTTTTATATTAGTCTGAAATTTAAGTAGAAAAGTTACAATCTTGAGACTAATATATTTATTTTATCATTTAGATTGTCCATACACAGTTCCCAAGTGAAATGGTATTTAAAAACTGTAAAGGTAATTTAATCATTTTTATTTTTTAATGTTGTATATCTTTTACATGTTAAAATTAAAAGAAAATGATGTTATAACTATTACCAAGATCTCTGATTGCCATGATTTTTTAATTTGCTACTTCTGACTTTATAAAAAATTCAACATAACATTTATAAATAATATTCTTTGTTAATAAACTTTTTTTTTAATTTATGTTTTAGATATTTAGAAATCATGGAATTTGTGATCAAGTTAGCAAAGATTGCAGGTAATTTTCATTTATTATATATTTAAAAATATCATTTTTTATCAACTGTAATAATAGATTGAAAATGATGATTTATTTTAACCACCAAGATCTATGAGTGCCATGATTTCAATAGTATTTGCTAGCTGATTATTTTTGACATTGGTCTGAAATTTAAGTAGAAAAGTTACAATTTTGAGACTAATATATTTATTTTATCATTTAGATTGTCCATACGCAGTTCCCAAGTGAAATGGTATTTAAAAACTATAAAGGTAATTTAATCATTTTTATTTTTTAATGCTGTGTATCTTTTACATGTTAAAATTAAAAGAAAATGATGTTATAACTATCACCAAGATCTCTGATTGCCATGATTTTTCAATTTGCTACTTCTGACTTTATAAAAAATTCAATCCAACATTTATAAATAATATTCTTTGTTAATAAACTTTTTTTTAATTTATGTTTTAGATATTTAGAAATGATGGAATTTGTGATCAAGTTAGCAAAGAATGCAGGTAATTTTTATTTATTATATATTTAAAAATATCATTTTTTATCAACTGTAATAATAGATTGAAAATGATGATTTATTTTAACCACCAAGATATATGAGTGCCATGATTTGAATAGTATTTGCTAGCTGATTATTTTTGACATTGATTTGAAATTTAAGTAGAAAAGTTAATCTTGAGACTAATATATTTATTTTATCATTTAGATTGCCCATACACAGTTCCTAAGTGAAATGGTATTTAAAAACTATAAAGGTAATTTAATCATTTTTATTTTTTAATGTTGTATATCTTTTACATATCAAAATTAAAAGAAAATGATGTTACAATTATCACCAAGATCTATGATTGCCATGATTTTTCAATTTGCTACTTCTGACTTTATAAAAAATTCAACATAACATTTATAAATAATATTCTTGATTAATAAATAGAATTTTTTATTTATGTTTCAGATATCTAGAAATAATGGAATTTGTGATCAAGCACTAGCAAAGAATGCAGGTAATTTTCATTTAATACATATTCAAATGTAATTTTTTTTTCAACTTCAGTAATAAATTGAAAATGATGATTTATTTTAACCACCAAGATCTATGAGTGCCATGATTTGAATAGTATTTGCTAGCTGATTATTGACATTAGTTTGAAATGTAAGATAAGTAGAAAAAATAGTAATTTTAACTAATATATTTATTTTAATTATTTAGGTTGCCTGTACACATATACACAGTTCCCAAGTGAAGTGAACGTTTTAAAATTGTATAAAGGTATTTTAATTATTTTAATTTTTTTTATTTTTTTTATTTATGACGGTTTTTATATATTAAAATTAAAATTAAAAAAATCAAAATTATAAGGTGATGCTATAAGTATCATCAAGATGAGTGCTATGTGAATAATATAGTATTTGCTAATTAATTATTATTGGTTTAAATCAATTTGAAATTTTAAATAGAAAAGTAGCAATTTTAACTAATATGTATTTTATTATTTAGATTGTCTGCGATTCCTTTAAATAATATAGTACTTTAAAAATGTATGAAAATATTGCTTTATAATTCTTATTCTTCTATATAATCTTATATATAAGCGATATTGAAATAATGTTACAAATATCAAGATTTCTGAATGCTATTATTATACATATATATATATATATTTGTATGTATATTTAATATTTGCTATTAGAGAATAAAATTTTAATTATTTTCGATATACGTTTTTTTATCAAAAAGTTTTCCAGCGTCCTTCATAAAATTCATGAAATTTTACAGTTGTAATATTCAGAGAGAAGAGGATGATTTATACGTATAATACAATAATAAAATATTCAACATAAATGACAATACAATATGAACAGTCACTTGAATCTAAATTTAATTTTGCAATGAAAAGATTCTTAATCAGAATCCTGCAAACTTGTCAATACCATTTGTCTTTTTTTTTTTTAGATTTAATAGCTTTCTATGTAAAATAAAATTAATTAAGCTCGATTATAAAATTTCCTCTCTCTTTTCTGTTATACATATGCATATATTTTTTGACTCATTAAATTAAACGTTGTTTTTATGATGTCGCAGAAAATCCATTGTTGCGGAAAAGATGCGTGTGCCAATAAATGTGTTTGCACGAGTAATGAATGGGCGAGCGAGCGCTCTAGACTGATTATCCTGCGGCGACGGGTTTCTAAAAGGACTCGCATTCGCAAGCTATGTGCAAGCTATTTCCTCGTCAGCCCTTTTGCCCGCTCGATTCGAAGAGGGAAATCGTAATGCTTCGAAATTGTGGCTCGCCTCGTTTGCGCGCTGTTAACTGCACCGCTAACGAGAAAGAGAGAGAGGAGAGACGAAGTGCCTAGGAGAAGGTGTAGCGATCGTGCTATGACGTCTCCTTGCCGTTCGACTGAATAATGCCCGAGCTTTCTCTCTCCGACTGTGTCGCGAGGCTTATTAATTTAACTTGTCGTTGCGAGTGCCTCGGCGACGCCGCAACTGCTGAGGAAGCTATGCGTCGATCGATCGCTCGGAAGCGCATATTAGCATGTAAACGCTATTCGTGAATAGCAACTGCTGACCGAGTTTGGGAATGTTTAAAGTTTAACAGAGGTACATCGATATTTATTGTATATAGGTATATATATATATATATATATATATATGTGTATATAAAATTTATTATTCAATTATTCATCATTTATTGTTGAGAGGAAATATCGGTGTTTGATTCATATTTATAATCCGAGACATTTCTTCTATAATAATAAATCCACTAAAATAGATAAATAATCACTTAATAAATATAAACTGTAATAAACTTAATAAACTAATAAATCACTTTATAAATTTAATTAATTACATAATAAAATAAGTTAACATGAACACGCATATATATATATATATATATATATATATATATATATATATATGTGTATATGTATATATATTATTCATTATTCATTTGCGTTTATAAGAGAGGAAATCGGTATTTAAACTTTATATAATCCGAGAGGTATTTCTTCTATGCAATAAATTCAATAAATTAAATAACTTTATAAAATAATTAATAAAATATACTTAATAAACTATAGTAAATTACTTTATAAATAATTAACTAATAACTTTATAAAGAGACGCTTTACAAATTTTTTCTTCGATGCAAGAAAAACACGATTAAAAGCTTCGAAATAAAAGCTCTAATTGAGGCGATGACACAATACAATTAAATAATCAATAAATCGGTAATTGTTTAGGATTTTAGAACATCATTTAGGGGAAACATTCGAGATTTTTATTCAACTTAATTCATGGAAATATATAAAAAAAAAATCGAGGCGATATCTTCTGCAGCTTCTTTAGGAGAGATTTCTCTAAAGAAATTCGATGACACCTATAAAAAATAAAATATATTAGCAATGTATACGATAAAATTATATTGGACATATCAAAAAGTAATGACGGATTTAAATCGCAGAGAGCTTAATGGAAGATGTATAAATTTTAAGTTACTATTTTATTTATTGTGAAAATAATTAATATATAAACACTGCAAAAAGATAAACATCATTTATAGTAAAATTTTCAAAAAAAATAATTTATTATCCGGATGTGCCATATTTCCTGATAAGTTTTGTGATAAATTCTACTGTATTATCATATACATATTTCTCTCTCTCTCTCTCTCTCTCTTTATTGTACACATTTATGAGTCGCTCCATACATTTTTATATTTTATATTGTGTTTCGTGGGAAAGGGGCCATAAAGTCACCTAGGGAATTATGGGAGGTGATATATACCATTATGGAATTTCACGGGTGGATGGAAAACGCTATTTTCGCGTACTGGTGTTTCAAATTACGGCGATTTCCGGCGATGGCTATCCGGGAATTCGCGGACCCCATTGAAATTATGACAATTAGCGCGATTAAAATTCGTCCGCGACTAATTTGAATTTACAAATCATCGTCATTATGTCGTCATGTCGCATATATATGTACACGATGAGGTGTGTCGTTTACAAGCGAGTAACGTGCAAAATTGGCATTACGCTGTTAAACCACGCGGCATCCATCCGGAAACCTTTTGCATTGATGATGCCAAATCGATATGTTTGTTCTTGATAAAAATAAAAATTGCGAAAGAACAGAACATTTTTCACGCGGTATAAAGGGGATTTCTCCAGGGGAGGAAATCGATATCTCTCCCCTCGAGGCAAATATGAAGATTAACAACGTTCAAATATATACTAGATGAACAGTGTTTGCTGTTATCTAAATAAAATTATATAGATGAAGTTTTGGCGTCCTCTTATCTTTATATAGATAATAAAAATATGTATTATCTATATCTGCATACACCTTAAATGAAAAAAAGTATTATCTTTATTAAATATTATTCTAGAATAATTTTCACAGATAATTTTGATTTAGAATCTTTAGCACATAAAAATTATAAATAAAAATATGAATATATATATACTTTTATATCCCTTTTGTAATTTAAATTTTTTATAACTGAGTTTATACGCAAGCAATCTTAAAAATTATTATCTAGATGACTTGCGATATAATTTTATCTTTTATCTAAATATATTTAAAACAAAGTCATCTTTATATTATCTAAGATAAATTTACATATTTTTATCTCATCTTTAGCTAATTTGAAAATCATCTAAGCACAACACTGCACATAAAAGTACTTAATAAAGTAGAATTTAAGCAATAAAAATTTATAAATAAAAATATGAATACATATATACTTTTATATCCCTTTTATAATTAAAAATTTTTTTATAACTGCGTTTACGTAAGCAGTTATCTAAGATAAATTTATATAATTTTCTCATCTTTAGCTAATTTGAAAATTATCTAAACACAACACTGCACATAAAAAAACTTAATAGTAGAATTTAAGCGATAAAAATTTATAAATAAAAATATGAATACATATATACTTTTATATCCCTTTTATAATTAAAATTTTTTTATAACTGCGTTTACATAAGCGGTCTTAAAAATTATTACCTAGATGAATTGCCATATACTTTTATCTTTTATTTGGATATATTTAAAACAAAATAATCATCTTTTCTAAGATGAATTTACATATTTTTATCTCATCTTTAGCTAATTTTAAAATCATTTAAGCGCAACACTGGACCCGAAGATTCCGCTATAAAATGATCATCTGCGAAGGCAGGAGAACCAGAGACGAGGAGAAGAGAAAAGGAAGATATTCCTCCCTCGTTCCTCTCGTCTCGCGAAAAAAGGGAGGTCGACTCATGAATAATGCGGGGAGGTGAAAGCCGGCTGAAACAATTGCCGGGCGTCGCTCTACTCCAGAAATTACATCGTCAGATTTTCCGCGAAATTAAAACGTTATACCGGGTGCCCCCGAGGTGCCGGCCGCAGATTTTCCATGGAATTTCTTCTTTCCCTCTTGTTTCGTAATTTTTTAATGCTTGCTATATATAATTATAAGTGTCGAGTACGAATAATTAGCGGGGTGTTAATTAAATGAATTGCGTAAAATTTTTTTATACGTCGTCCTTTAAAAATTAATTCGACAAATTATTTTCCTTTTAATAGCTGAAGCAATTTTTTTCAAATTCCTCTCTTCGCGATTTTTCTTTGTACTTTTTATTCTTTAAATTATATATGTGTCAAATTTATTATATTTGCATTTTGAAATTTTTTTACATCTTTAATCGACGTAAAATGCAAGAAGGAGACACCGCGTACATTTCGGTCCCATCTACGGCCACTCGTCTTCCTGTCCCTTCTTAACGCGGTCCTTTTCTCAAGTTACGTTCGCTCGTCCCGAGAAAGAAATCGCCGATTATGTGATTTGACTGACGGCGATACCAGAGGAGGACACTTTTCCTTCAGGATTTAGTGGCTCGTTCTTGCCGACGAAGAAAATTGCGAGGCCGGCTGACTCGCGCGTTGAACAAAGCTGCCGGGCAATTTCTAGGATAATGTTGACCCGGTTATTAAACGTCCTTACACGGTGTCTCGCTGTCGCGTTCAGGAGAAAATATGCTCCCGAGGAATTGAAATTATATACATACACACATATATCGCGGAATAAGGTGAAAAACGTACGAAATTAAGGATTGCGTTATTTTAATATACCCATATATACAGTACAGATTATTGCAATTACATATTGTAACAATGTTCCAATCTTGCAAGTTACAATGTAACATTGTAGAGACATTACAGAAACATGCAAATTTAATATTTCATGACAATGTTGCAGCAACATTTTAGAAAGATTATAAAAATATTATTTAATAATCGCTAGTTTATTTACCTTTATCTACCGCTATGCGGCGCGCGAATCTCTATCTATCCCGTATACTTACAGTTTAGTTTAGAATTAGATTAAAAGTATCATGTTTACATCTTTACATTAGTTTAATTTTTTGGACTTGATCCTAACAGAGGGAATTCAGATATTTAAATACATATATATACTGAACCCACACAACACAAAAATTAACAGAAATGTTGCAGAAACGTTTCAAAGTTTCAAAACAGTTTCTAACTAAAACACTAAAACGTCATTAGAACATTTAAAAAACGTAACATTTGAAACGTTTATGCAATCTTTTATAAACTTATTTGTGACAAAGTAGCGGACACTTTCACGTATTTAAGACGTATATGAAACTGTTTTGAATAAATTTTGCGAAGGTCTCTGAAATATTTTGTGCTATGTGGGAACTGATTCCTCAGAAATCAGATAGATAAATATTCGATGAATTCGAATGAATAAAAATCTATGCATTGTACTTTACATACTTATTTTAAAAACAAAATTTTTATTTGAAGTAAATTATTTATAGTCTGCACTTTTTTACTATTCATATTATTATAAAAATTACATTACAATGTTAGTGTAATATTTTATTGCAACATTACAAAAAGCGGCCATCTAGTCGTTGCAGCAATCTTGCAGCAATGATACAGAAATATTTTGCAACCAATATGCAATATTGCAATGTAAGTTTGCAATCTTTTGGTGCTGTATGGATATATATATATATTTTTTTCAATTCGATCTTATAAAGAAAGACTCAGAAATATAATCCGCAATTTTTCGATGAATTCGCTCTTCTCAGAACATATCGATATCCGGTTTGGGATATAGACGGTCAGCTTTTGGATTGGGGTCAAAATTGACCACGCGACTCTGTAGCTATACTTAAGCAATAATTTATTATACTATTTTGTCAAAAGCTACGATATTAGTAGTTCTGTGTCTCAACTTTTCTACTCGAATTTAAGTTTAAGGAGAAAAAAGAGTGACCTTTCAAACATAATTTTTTATTATATATATAAATTTATTATATAAGTAATAATTATTTATTATTATTATTTATTACTATTTAAGTATATTTATTAATATAAATTCTTTTTTTATAATTTTAATAAATTTTTTATAGATGCACTATATATATATTATCTTGAATTTTTTTAATGGGATTACTATATTTTTTAAAATAAATTAATTCCTCATAATATTCTTATAAAAAGTTATAAGGTTAAGGAAGTGAATAATTTGCGTGCTCATTTTCCGATAATCTTATTTTAAATATTTTATGCGCAAAATAATAAGATGAGGAATTAAAATTGGTGCAAAGAAAATACAGTTGTTTAAAAAAAGTATGTTTATATAACTGCTAATTGCAAATTACATTTTTTTTTTAATATCAATCTTTTTCTTATATCAATCAATTTGTCATTATTATTATTATCATATTATTAGTATCATTATTATTATGTATATAAAAGTATTAAGATAAGACCACCAGAAAATGAATATTTTACGAGATATATATATTTCATAATTTATGTAAGATTATATTATTGTAAATTAAAGTATAAAATATCTTACAAAAATATGAGAAAACAATTTATATATAAAAAATATATATATAATTCGATTTAAAAAATTCAAGATAAACTTAACAATGCCATCTAAAATCAAACTATTCAGATCATTAAATGGGGTTTTTGAAACACTACAATTTTTTTATAAAATGCTTTTTTTCCGTAATATTAGACCATTCCGGGACTTTTCGCACACCTTCTGTATATGCATTTACAATAAAATTGATTGAAATTATAAAGAATTATATGTATATAATTACATAGATATGTACATATGAAATTCTTTTCATGCAATTAATTATATTATTTTAAATTATTTTATTAAATAATATCAGCTTTTTAATAGGTAAAGGTACCGATTATGAGATACTATTTACATTTTGTTAATTATTTCCAAAATATATGCAATTAGGAAAGTATCTATATACTGTTTTTAATCGTCATTTCATGTAGTTTTAGAAACCCTACCTCAATAAGTTATATCTCGTTCGAGTTTTAATATACATAGGTTTGATTAAAGTAAGTCAGTTTTTGTATCAAAACCAAAAGATCTCCTAATATGAGATACTAGCTGATCTTAATATGAGATACCGCCTTTTATTAGATAAACTTAATTTTATTTTTATTAACACTAAAAATAAAAGACATATAGATAAAAGTAAATGGTTTTATTATTACCTGTCTTAATTTTAAACCTTTTACAGTATTATATCTTCAGAATCAACAATAAAATTTAAAAATATAGCTTTAATTATATTATTTATTAGACTTATTTCCTAAACTCTTATATCAAAATGTCAAAAATATGAAGGTAGGCACTTATACTTTAAATTAAACGAAAAACTATCTTTAGAATAGAAAAATAAAATAAAAAACAAAACCAAAAAAAATTTTAATTTTAAATTTTTAAAAAATTTTAAATAAATTTTAAAATTAATTTAAAAATTTTAATTAATTAATTAATTAATAATTAATTATAATTAATTTTAAAATTAAAAAAAAATTTTTTTAATTTTTTAATTTTTAAATTTTTCGACGCTTTAAAATACCTCATCTGCTTGGATCGGACAGCATCAATAGCCTTAATCATGGCGCTAAGATTCCAGCTTTTTACTTTTTGATGGCAGTCTAAAGACATAAATTATTCTTAAAATAATCAATTATCTACGTTACAACAAAAATGGTTCCCAATATGAGATATCTCATATTACGAGACTTTCGCTATTTCTTATTAAGAATTTACCATTTGACCAAAATTTAACAAAATACATTTTTTTTCACTTATAAAACACTATAATGTGCACTAGTATCATAAAATAGACTATATTAGCGACGAATTTATTAATATTTTACAACATTCAAAACAAATTTTATAAAATTTCACGTACCTTGCATCTAGTGTGAAAAAATTCGTGTTTTTGCTTCCGCGACAAATCAGCGTGTTCTCGTCTGTTCGCTGTCGCTGACCGGCACACATTGGTACACAATTGGATCTGTTTATCCGACGAAGTAAATGACGCAAACGTCACACATTTCAGATGTACGGTGTCGTCAGTAAGACGCTATCTCATATTTAGAACCTATCTCATAATCGGTACCTTTACGTATTTATTCCATGAATGTTATAAAAAAATAATAGGTATGACAATATCATAATGACTCACAACCAGCTATTATTATAAATAATGTCTTTGGGCTAGATGGAACTTTGTTCTTACCAATTACTTTATATGCACATATTTAATACGAGCAACGAAGCGGCACTAACATCACGATTGTTTCATTGTCGATTTACATTTTGTTTATCATCTCGGTTGGGTTTTTCTTAGTTTTTTTATTATTAAGCGCATTTACGGAGAAGAAGCTTGATTGTTTGTCGTGAAAAAATAATGATCTCGCGATTATCACGTTACAGATCGAGTTTGCTTACGATTGAAGGCCAATAACATAAATCGCGCGTCACATATCTTATTATGAATTTTAAATCAAGTATAGAATCATGCTTTTTAAATCATTATCATATAACATTTAAACTACAGTAGAGTAGTTAGTAGAATTTCTGAAAGTTTCGAGGATGATTATTTTATTGCTTTGGAAATTTTGATTGTTCATCATCAATAATAATTGTTGATTGTTAATCATCAATAATAATTGACAAGGTAAAATTTTGTACCCAATCAAATTTTTAATCTAAATTTACAATTTTAATTTTGTTTGATTTTCATGGAAAGTGTAAAGAAGAAAATCATAAAGAAATAAATAATTATAATTCTTTTATTAAATAACAATCTTACTGATTTTACATTATATAATATATTAATATTAATGATTTTATAATTTTTATAATACATTAATAATGCAATTTTAAGAAATTTGATAAATTTCGAGCTTTCTCTTATCAGAATTTTGAACACTAGTCAAATTTTTAATTTTGATATTTATAATTTCAATTCTTTGATTTTCATGGAAGAAAAGTGTAAAAGAATAAATAAATTAAATAATTAATTTTTAAAAATAATATTAATAATCTTACTGATTGCAATTTTAATATAATACATTAATATTAAATGTAAGTTCAATAGAAATTGATGTGTTCGAAGCTTCCTTTTGTTAGAATTTCGAACATTAATCTTTTAAATCTTTATTAACAATCTTAGTTGTTTGATTTTCATGGAAAGCAATAAAAAAATAATTACTTAATTATTTTATAATATTAATAATATAATTTTAATGATCCAATTTTTATAATACATTAATAATGCAAATTTCAAGGAAATTGGAGTTTCGAGTTTTCTCTTATCAGAATTTCGATCAATCAAATTTTTGATTGCAATTTATAATTTTAATTGTTTGATTTTCATTGAAAGAATGTAAAGAATAAAAAAAATATAATTTTTTTGCAATATTAATTCTGATGCAATCTTTTACTGATACACAATACTGCTACAATTTTAATAATACATTAATAATAAATGTTTGCTGTTATCTAAATAAAATTATATAGATGATAATCTAGATGAAATTTTGGCGTCATCTCGTCTTTATATAGATAATAAAAATGTGTATTATCTATATCTGCATCTTAAATGAAAAAAGTGTTATATCTGTACTAAATTATCTAAAATAATATTCAGATAATTTGATTTAGAGTCATAGCACATAGAAATACTTAAGTATTAGTAGAATTTGAGCATTAAGCGACAAAATTATAAATAAAAATATATGAATATGATTTTTATCTCTTTTATAAAATTTACATTTTTTTTATATAAGTGGTCTTAAAAATATTATCTAGCGATGAATTATCATATAAATTTATCTTTTATCTAGATATACATATATTTAAAACAAAATTATCTTTATCTTATCTAAAATTTAAATATTTTTATCTTATATTTATCTTAAGCTAATTTTGAAATTGTTTAAGCACAACACATTTATATATATATATATATTTATATATAAATAATATGTATATAAATTATTATATGTGATAAAATAAGATCATATAATAGCTAGACTTTATAGATATTTTAAAAATTAATATATAATATACATATATAAATAATCTCCTATAATATTATTAATATATTATATACAAGATGTCTCAAAAAGGTCGGGACGACGAAATATTTCGATAAATATAAATTTTATAAAAAATGTTTTAAATAAAAATTGTAGGGTTTTAAAAAATTTATTTATTAGCCTTAACAATTTAATTTTGGGTGATGTTTTGTAAGATTATTTTAAGATTAACTCGATTTTTTTAATAGAACCCAAAATGTTATAACCAAATAGATTCCTTTCCATACAGCACCGAAAGATTGCAGAAACATTGCAATATTGCATACTGGTTGCGAAATATTGCATCATTGCAAGATTGCTGCAACGACTAGATGGCCGCTTTTTGTAATATTGCAATAAAACATTACAGTAATATTGTAATGTAATTAATAATAAATAGTAAAAAGTTGCAGACTTAATAATTTACCTCATAAAAATTAAAAATTTTATTTTTAAAATAAGTATGCAATAATATATTTATCTGTGTGTCTGATTTCTGAGGAATCAATTATATGTACATTATATCTGAATTCCCTTGTGTTGGGATCAAGTCCAAATAATTAAACTGATGTAAAAATGTAGGCATGATACTTTTAGTCTTAGAGCTAGTTAATTTCACCAACCTTTATGTAATTCTAACTGAAATTTAAGTACGGGATAGATAGAAGCTCGCGCGCCGCATAGCGGTAGATAAAGAAACTAGCGATTATTAAATAATATTTTTTATCCTTTTGGAATGTTGCTGCAACATTCTCATAAAATATTACACTTGGATGTTTCTGTAATATCTCTACAATGTTACAACTATAATGTTGTAACTTGCAAGATTGGAACATATTGCTGCAATGTAATTGCAATGATCTGTGCTATATGGATTCCCCTACAGCACAAAATATTGACGGAATATTGCAAAAATATTGTTTTGCAAGATTGAAATATTGCATGCAATATTCCTGAAAGCTTGCCAATATATAGATATGTCCGCCCTCAAACTATATTGTGCAACATTTCTGCAATGATACTGATTTATTTCTACAAAGGTGAATATAATATTTATAAAATATTGCAGAATATTTATTTTTTTTATTTTCTTCATTTATTCAGACATTTATTCGTCTGATTTCTGAGCAATCAATTTAATATTTGAGTTCCCTGTATTAGGATCGTATCAAAATTGATAAAAAGTGTTGATTGTAATTGCTACTTTTTGCATGCTTTATATAATTCTCGGGACTAAAACTTAATGCGAGTTCAGCTTGCGGCGCATAGTGGTAAATGAAAGAACTACGTGATTGCATTGTAATATAGCAATAATATTTTGCAACGTCTCCAATAAAATAATAACTTATTATATTTGCACAATATTGCTGCAATATTTGTAATATGGCGCAATATTGAAATATTTATGCAATATTTTAGTAATATTTCGTGCTGTAGGGGTTTTGTCCATTTTCTTCGTATACGTCAGTATTTTCGTCCGCGTATCCGCAAAAGGGGAAACGATATGCGGGATCCTGTTAGGTTAGAGCATAGCTCTCGAGTAAATCCCCATTTCAGGCTGCGCGACCCTTGGCCGGTACCTCAATGGTGTTGATTGCTTATCTGAATATGCATAATCGTGACGATAATGACAGTGCTCGGGCCGAATACTCGGCCGTGCGCTGTGCATACGTAACGAGAATGCAATTCCCTTATGCGTCTGCATACGGACGATCGTCGACAATCATCGTCCGCTTACGCGGAAAATCGATCCAACCCCCTCATTCGCCCGATATGGTAAATTAAATATTTATTGCAAAACCTTTTTCAATATTTTTATTTTTTCAATTTTTTTCGAGACTTCCATGATTGGGAATCGAATCGCGAAAGTGCATTTTTCGCCCTTTCTAATAATATACGCACGCGTTGAACTCTCCACAATAATACCCTTCTCTCTTCCGCGATGCGAAATTACATTTTAATTTTCGCAAAATTTTCCGTTTCTTCCTACACATTTCCCGTATATTTGCCGTTCTCTTTTTAAACGCGTATATTTTTTTTTTAACATTTTAACCATTATTTTTGTTTCTTTTCCGAATCACGGGTTTTTTCCATTTAACTCTCCTATATATATGTATGTTTTATTTATTATAGCTTGCGTCGCGTTTATTGCTCTCGTACTGACGTTTACCGTTGAATTTGGCGTGCGTGGATGTTCTAAACTGGACGTTCAGTTTTTTTCGCGATTTATCATATGTGTTTATATGGTAATACACGCTCGACGTCGGAGGTTCGTATTTATATGCGCGGGAGATAAAAGGACCCGTAGAATACTGACGTGAGCGGTATAGAAATGTTACGAATGCGCGCGCGGTCTCTCTCTCTCTCTGTCTCTATTTTTTTTCTCCCTCTATGTATCTTCTATCATCATAAAAATGAGTAATACGCGTATGTGAGGTACAAGGTAAAATAAAATACGAAATTATTCTCGTGTGCCTGCGTGTCTCTTCTTATTTGTATTACACATTTTGCAAAGGCTCTTGATTTGTTCGGCCATTTGCCGAAAGGTTGACCCTAAAGTGGGCCAAGGTGGAGGATTATTGACCATAATTTCAGGTCAACCCGATGTAATGTCCACGCTTCCAATTTGCACTAGACATTTGGCGTGCCAAATATTAGGCTTGCCGGAACAACCTTTGTCACTGCAAGATAGCGATGCATCATGTATGCGTATGCATGTGTTTACCGCGCCTGCTAAGGTCTCCTCGAGATGTATGTGTGCACAATGACCGGTTTTCTGTATTGACGTGTAGCTTCACGTCGAGCAAAAGTTAAACGATAGATAGAGAGAGAGAGAGAGAGAGAGAGAGAGAGAGAGAGAGATATATATATATATATATATATATATATATATATATATATATATATATATGGTGTTGAGAATGTAGGATCCATTTTTTGTCGGATATGATATATCGAGGATGCATGTAAATAATTTTTGCATCTTCGATTTAAATTAATTACTTGAAGAGACGTGATTAAATTAACCTTTACCGAAATAGAGCTTACTTGAAAAACTTTATAT